GCCGTTTTTTTGCCGTTTCCGGTCGCCGTTTTTTTGCCGTTTCCATTTTCAAGGGGCATTTTTTTTAAAAGATGAAAAAACGGCCCTGCCGTTTCCGGGGCCCACAAAGGGCGACGTTGTCTCACGTTGACTGCAATTGTCTCCCGCCGCCTCCTGTGGTCTCTCGTGGCCTCCCGTGGCCGTCCCTACCCCTATCCCTGTCCCGTATCCATCTCCGCATCCCTATCCCCTTCCCCATCCTCGTCCCTATCCGTATCCGTATCCCTGTCGCCTATCCCTATCCCCATGCCTCTGCCAATTCTCACATCCCATGTATCCCCATCCTATCGGATCTCCCTAGCCCTATCCCCATCCCGATGCCTACTTCTCTATATTCCTACCCCCTATTTCCCTACCCCTATCCCAATCCTCCCATCGTGCCCCCTCCATCGTGAACGCCTATCGTAAGTGTGAAAAGCTGTTTGGGGTCTTCTGCTTTGTTGAATTACATAGATGTTTGATTTCTGACGCTTTCGGGCCTCTAATGGGTTTGGACCGCCCAAATGATGTCCCAAAGAGAGCCCGTAGAGAGCACCACAAGAGCCAATAACATAGCCCAACACATTCTATATTTCCTCAACATGATTCAAGCTTCGAGGTTCCACCAGGATGATCCCAGAGAATCGGGATGGCCGAAGGTACATCAAGTCAGCCCTCAGACGGCATGTTGCCCTGATACTGCCCCAATATTGTTTAACATTTGTCCGGTGGAGACCGCAAAGTGTGGGCAAGAGGACTCCAACTTTGCCAGAGGAAGGTCCCCAAAAACACCGAGAACCAGTAAAAGCGCCCAATCCGCCACCTTGCTTTCGGCACCGAGTTGAGTGTCCTTATACCTCTTCGAGTTCTCTGCTCAGAACGTTGGAAACACTTTTTGTAGGGCTCGTAGCCTCGAAGTCCAGGAGTACTCGCGCGCGTTCCCAGGGATTGTTGCATGACTTTTGTGAAGGCCTCAGGGAACTGGTTGAGGATCCCCGCACCTCCCACGTGTCCTAAGATGGCCTCAGGGACTATCCTGTGGCGTTCTTTCTTGGGGGTCTGTTGAGCCATCCTCGACGCTCTGGGGTCCAGCCCAAAAGAACAACCCAAATCCGAGAACTGTGCGGTCAGGTCACCCGGAATCCCCACTGACCCACCACACGGTGTTATCACCGCCCCGTTTGGGGGCATCAGATCGGCTACTATGAGAACGCTGAGGGCTAGGTGGGACCGCCGCAAAGCGTTTTGACTGCATAGCCCCGTCGGTGCCCCTACAAGGGCCCACACATGCGTCCGACCCAACAGCCCCCGAACCACGAGCCAAACAGAGGGCGCAGCGGCGGAGAGAGCGAAGCTCCTCAGATAACATGACATTCATGCGCAAGGGCGTGAGACTCCACAGCTGAACTGCAAAACAATCAGAACCATATAAATCAGAGTGCGCACATGGAGCTTGAGCCAAAAGCGACCACGGAGAGCGAACCCTCTGTAAGGTTCCGCGGGCTTTCGCCGAGGGCGCGGCATCGATCCGTCGAGTCGTCGGCGCCGAGGCCCCAAGCCCTTAGTGTAGCTTCCCGTGGATGTTGTCCAACGCGGGCCCCAAAACTCTCGACCCCATCCCTCGTAACGTGTTCCTATGCCCCCTGAGGCCCAAGCATTATCGCAGGGCGTTCTCAACGTTATATGTGCATTCCCCCCCCCAAAGCTCTGCCTTGGCAATCAAGTGCGGGGTTGGACGATCGCATCATTGTCCCTCCAGTGTTCGCCGTGCTGGGTGTTGTTGGATGGTTGTGTATCCTGGCGGATAACATCCTCTTGGCGACCCTGCACAAGAGAGATATTCGGACGATGTGCCAAATCGTACTGGGCCGGCCAAACGAATACACACATACACACTTCCTCTGGGACAGTCTCGCCGTAGCCCAGTCATGCATCGTAGGAGCATAATTCGGGGGCTGGTAGAATTAGTAGTAATAGTCGTAGAAGAAGAAGTAACAATAGTAGTAATTAGAATGATAATAATAGTGATAACAAAAAACCGGAATTGTAGTAGCAAGCGTAGTGAGTCGTAGTGGTCGATAACGTCGCAATAATGCTAGTAGTAGTGATACGTGTAGTCGTGGTTGTTGTGGTGGTTGCTGTTGTGCAAGTCGTAGTGGCAAGCGTAATGATAGTAAAAGCAACAGTGTCAACACAACAATAATAATAATAATAAAAATGCCAACAGCAGTAGCCGTAACAGCAGTAGTAGTGGTAGTAGTGGTAGTAGTAGTACTAGTACTAGTAGTAGTAGTAGTAGTAGTAGTAGTAGTAGTAGTAGTGGTAGTAGCAGTAGTAAGCGTATCCAATATTATCAATAGTAGTAGTCGTCGTAGTAGTGGTAGTGGTAGTAGTAGCAGTAGTCGTAGTAGTAGTCGTAGTAGTAGTAGTAGGAGGAGGAGTAGTAGTAGCAGTAGTAGTAGTAGTCGTAGTAGTAGTAGTAGTAGTAGTAGTAGTAGTAGTAGTAGTCGTAGTAGAAGTAGTAGAAGTCGTAGAAGTAGTAGTAGTAGTAGTAGTAGTAGTAGTAGTCGTAGTAGTAGTAGTAGTAGTAGTAGTAGTAGTAGTAGTAGTAGTAGTAGTAGTAGTAGTAGTAGTAGTAGTAGTAGTAGTAGTAGTAGTAGTAGTAGTAGTAGTAGTAGTAGTAGTAGTAGTAGTAGTAGTGGTAGTAGTGGTAACAATAGTTGTAGTAGTAGAAGTTGTACCAGTACCAATAGCAGTAGTCGTAGTAGTAGTAGTAGTAGTAGTCGTAGTAGTCGCCGTAGTAGTAGTAGTCGTAGTCGTAGTAACAATGCTGATCGCAAGAGTAGTCGTAGTAGTCGTAATGGTAGTTCGTAGTAGCAATACAATTAATACTAATAAAAAAAAACATGTGTTGTTGTATGAGTGGGAGTAGCAGTAGAAAGAGTAATGGTGGTAGTAGTAATACCATGAATAGTTCCTGTACTCGTAGTAAGTCATAGTCGTACTTGTAGTAGTGGTAGTCGTAGTTATAGAAGTAGTCGTAGTAGTAGTAGTAGTAGTAGTAGTAGCCGTAGTAGTAGTAGTAGTAGTAGTAGTAGTAGTAGTAGTAGTAGTAGTAGTAGTAGTAGTAGTCGTAGTAGTAGTAGTAGTAGTAGTAGTAGTAGTAGTAGTAGTAGTAGAGATAGTCGTAGTCGATAGTTGTCGTGGTGAAACTAATATTAGTAATATATGGGTAATCGAAAGAACCGTAGTAATAGAGGTAGTCGTGCTAGTAGTAGGAGTAGTGAAATAACACTAATCATGATAGTAAGCTCTAACTGTAGTAACACCAGTCGCAGTAGTAGTAAAATTATTAATAATAGTCGTAGTAGTGGTAGTAGTAGTGGTAGTGGTAGCAGTAGTAGTAGTAGTAGTAGTAGTAGTAGTAGTAGTAGTAGTAGTAGTAGTAATAGTCGTCGTCGTCATCGTTGAAGTAGCAAGAGTAGTAGGTGTACCAGTAGCAGTAGCAGTAGTAGTAGTAGTAGTGGTTGTTGTAGTCGCAGCCGCAACCGCAGCATGAGTAGTAGTAGTAGTAGTAGTAGTAGTAGTAGTAGTAGCCGTAGTAGTAGTAGTAGTAGTAGTAGTAGTAGTAGGCGTAGTAGTAATCGTAGCATTAGTAGTAATCGTGATCGTGGGAGTAGTAGTCGTAGTAGTAGTAGTAGTAGTAGTAGTGGTAGTAGTAGTAGTAGTAGTAGTAGTAGTCGTCGTAGTCGTAGTAATACAAGGAGTAGCAATAGTATTCGTAGTAGTAGTAGTAGTAGCAGTAGTGGTAGTAGTAGTAGTAGTAGTAGTAGTAATAGTAGTAAAAGTAGTAGTAGTAATAATAGCCGTAGTAGCAGTCGCAGTAGTGGTAGCAGTAGTAGTAGCAGTAGAAGAAATAGTAGTGGGGGTAGCAATACTAGTAGTAGTAATAATGATGATAGCAATCGTAGCCGTAGTATTAGTAGTAGTAGTAGTAGTAGTAGTAGTAGTAGTAGTAGTAGTAGTAGTAGTCGTAGTCGTAGTCGTAGTCGTAGTCGTAGTAGTAGTAGTAGTAGTAGTAGTACTACTACTACTACTACTAGTACTAGGTAGTAGTATGATTATTATTATTAGTAGTAGTCGTAGTAGTAGTAGTAGTCGCCGTAATCGAGTAGTGGTCGTCGTAGTAGCAGCAGCAGCAGCAGAAGTAGTAGTAGTAGTCGTAGCAGCAGTAGTAGTAGTCGTCGTCGGGGTAAGGATCAAACTTTTCCGCAGCATGTTTTCATGTAGTACTGTTGTTAGTCGAAGGGGGGCGGAATCACTTTCGCACCGATGCTCGCCGTGCTGCGTGTGATTTGGTGGCTGTCTCTCTTGGTGGGACACTGACAGAGAGCCATGTCCATGATGAACAGGAAACGGCGTCGGTCTGGTTACCCGTTCCGTACTCCAGATTTCGTAATCAAAGGGAGGGGGTCTCATTTCGGGGGGGGTCTCTTCCAGGCTATCTTGGAGGGCCTGGGGGGGTCTGGGGACGACGTTTTGGAGGGTTCTCCCACGGGGGGGGGTCTGAAATGGCTCGTCTTGGAGGGTCCAGACCCCCTCCCTTTTATTACGACATCTGGAGTACCCAGTTTCACCGTCCCGATCCAGATCGACCCGGATCGGGCTGGCCGAACTCGTAATCGACTCACTCGACTCGCAAGGGGCCCTGGTCCAATGACACGAG